TCTGATATAAGTAAAATCTTAATTTGAATGTAAATCAAAGGATTAAAAAATTATTAGACGATGACACGTGCGCGATCGAGTGGCTATAATAATACACGAGCATCGCTGCGCACTTTACATACCCATATAATAATCAATCGAGCGTATTATGTGTGCAGCATCGGCGTTTGTTTTTCATTCGGATGATCTTGTGTGTTAGCTTATAAGCGGCCGCTATAATAATTAAACTCGCTATCGAGAACGATAATTATACCGATAGTTTAGTTTGAACGTAATTACATTCTTGTATTGGTTAGTAAGCACCGCATTTAACGATGACTTGAAAATTTTCACTCGCGCATCTTGTAAGGCCATTATACTCGTCGTCTTATAAAATCGTCGTTAGCGCTCGCGCCAAGATGCGCGTAACCTTATAACGATACACAAAAGGACAATTTGTGTGACAGGACGAGGTTGTGTGACATTGGGCTAATTGCAGTTGCAGTACTACCTGCTCGCTGAGAAACGTCTATTCTTTAATGATTCTGAGTAGGCAATTAAGGAGTTAAGCGCGGGAACGAAGTGTGTATTGTCGAATTGGAACGAATTTTGGATACAAGTCACTTTACATTAGAAGAGACTGAAAAATTCAATTGACCTAACTCTGTAATCAAATAAATGTGCGTAATTTAAGAGGTATTTTCATCGCATCGAGGGTCACTTTACATTATCAATTTTCAATAATCGATATCAAAATTACATCGTATCACACCCCTCGTAACGACCAGATCCGATGTAAATTTAAAAATATTTTTCCACCTTACATCGTATACATACATACGTTGGAAAATGAGAAAATGAGGGTCAAGGACTGACGCGCTCCACTCACTGGCTCGGCTCGAGTCGCAGAAGAAAATGATTGAATCGCACTGCAGCAGTTGCACTTGGCTGAATACATACGTATACGAATTAATAGCCAACGAGATCCTATATACACATGGCATTTAGCGTCAGTAAAGAGTCAATAATGAGACAGCAGCAGCGGCTTAGCACAAGCGCTAAAAAGCTGCGCTGACGCCGTCAATTTATTAATGCGCCGCGACGCGTCGTTTAAATAAACGAGAGACTCGCTCGAAGAAAATACATACATTTATGTACAGAACATTGGGTTTCGCGCGCGCGGCAGTTTATATTAGCTCGAGAGCTTATGCGTACGGGTAATGTACATAATTGGAAATTTGGTCGAGTATTTGATTGTCACAGATCGTTTTGTCATATGTGAATGTCATCTTTTCCATAAAAAGTCCAATAAGCGCGTGTATATGATTTCCGATTTACTCACAGGCGCAAAATGAATGTGCTTTAATAGTGTATAAATTATTGTAATTTGAATTAAGTTTATCATCGATTGCAAACCGCCAATTTTCATCTATTAAAGCCGCACAAGGTTTATTTTTAATATGGAGCTATATAGTTATAGGTAAGCGCACACCATCGACACGTGCGAGGCAAAATAATTTTTTCGCCTCGACAGAAGCTTACAGCCCACGCCCAAGTTTTTTTTTCTAATAATTCCGAGCAACTCGCAGATAAAAAAAAAGTGTTTTTGCTCTCGATCTCGCGCGATTCGTACAAATATAGAAGAAAAAAAAACGTCTTGTGGCTTATCTCGCGAAGCCATCTTCGCATATCCTTTCATATAAACGGCCTTATCTCCAAAGCCAAACTCGCGCACAGTTAGCAATAATCGTTCGTAAAGACTTTATCGCAATTTCTATATGTATAATAATACATTATCGCGTCTGTGCTATGTACGTCGAATCGATATAACGTATCGTTAGAGATTTGCGCAGTCAGCGATAGACAGTATTGTCGGAATATATGTAGCAATCAAAAATCGACACACGACCCGAGCGTATTATGCGTGTATTTACACTTATTTGCGAGCGATTGCCTAAACTGTATTCCTACCATTTCTGGTGCAAAACTTTTACTATATCTAGAATAATATGCGAGCTTTCGATACGTGACCTGCATGTGTGTTTACGATAGGCAGAAATCGCGGCTCCACGCGATAAGAAGCAAATTTGACGAACGAATCGGTATGATATCGAAATCGATTAAACGAGAAATTAGTCCAACTTTTCACGCAGTAAATAATTTTGGAATAATAGTTTTTAATTCTACGTACGTTTATGCATTCGATGCATGTATCGTTGCATTATATGAGAAAAGCATTAGGGACATGAGTAAGCAAATAATTCGACAGATGATTATCGGTTCACAGGTTGTTAATGTTTTTATTTATTTTATGAATATAATAATGTTATATAGAAATACATGAAACATAAATACATGTAACATTTTAAAAAGTCTCGGTCGCACAATAATATTTAAATGAAAAAATGAAATATCTGCAAAATTAAATTACACAAGACTGAAAATATCGCGAATATTCTCATTGATATCACGAGCTTTGGCCTGCAGCCGCCAGGCAAATGTGATATAAATCTTGGTTCATTAGCCGATCGATGATGATTTCGCAGCACAAATACGGCAGACGGTAGCGTATCAGCTCGGCAAAAAATATCCTTGCCCAGGCCTGGAAAAATCTTCTCGATAGTTTTTCGCGCAGATGCATATCACAAGACTCTTGATACTTTTTACGGAACTTACTCAATTTGTTCGAGTGGGCTAAGTCCAAATAGTCCTTGTACGTGAGTTACTTCGTCACCACTTCGTTTTGTAAATTAATCAGTTCGTAGAGGGACAGGCTCGAACGTTTTAATATACTTTCGTCTGGGCTCGTGAGGTCCTTATTATCTTGCCTAGTTTTGCTCGTAAACGACAAACCATCCGTTTGTCGTAACCTCCATTTTCAAGAATTTCGACGACGACCATAGCTCTGGAGGCTAGTTTGAATTTAAAACCCTTGACAAGAAGAAACTGAACTTTAAAGTTTTCGTCAAGTTATTTCACAAGTAGATTCACGAATAAATCCATAGCGTTTGGCAAAATATTCGCCACGGCCCTATAGGTGTTCGACCCAACATATCCCCAACGTCGATCTCCACCGTCTACCGGACTTCGTCACAGATCTTCATGAATAACTCCGTCAAATCGTCGCTATGAAATTGGCCATTGTTGTCGTTTTTGTCGTTATAAAATTCGCCATTCTTGCAAATAATGTGCAGAGATGTCGATCCGTATTTATTATTATTCTGTTGTCGTAGACCAGTGCATAGTGCAACGGCGAGCCATTCAATTTATGCTGGGCTGGGCATCGATCTGTATCATCTGCTGGATGTCGTCGTTCCTCTTGAAAAATATCTCCACCAAGTGATAGTCGTTGAGCCTGCTGCACGTAGTATGAAGAGGAGTCAATCCCATATTGTTGGCTCAATTCGGATTCGGGCCGTTTCTCAGTAGTACCTCGGCCATCCTCCTATGGCCACGAGCCATGGCCAAGTTCAACGCTGTGTCACCCGACTCATCTCGAGCGTCGATTTGCACCGTCAGATTATTATCGTCGTTGGTTTTTAAGAACATCTTCAACGAGTCATCGGCATCATTGTTTCTCTTGCAAATGATGTGCAGAGGAGTCGATCCTTTTTTGTTGGCCAAATTTGGATTAGTGATATGTTTTAGCAGCAGTTCGGCCACCTTTATGCTATCGGAGCGCAGAACAAATTAATGTAACTCAATACCTGCGGCGTCAAGGAGAGCCGACGCGTCCACGTGTCCAAGCCGCTGATCACGTCGCAGTACGACGGCTATCACTTCTCGGCCGATTTTCCGCTGCTGCCGAGATTCAATCGGATATTTCGGCGAATGAACGACGCCGGACTGATTCGGTACCACGTGGAGCACCTGAGGTCGGCTCACACTCGCTATCGCGAGGAGAGAGGGGCGGCCAAAAGGGGCGACGAGGCCAAATACGCCGTGGGGATTCTGTGCGCTGGCTGCGGACTGGCGGCTCTGATCTTTGTACTCGAATTCGTTGTCGAAATTTACTCGCGGTATAAGAATAAAGTTTTTAATGTATCAACGAAATCGATGAAGTAAAACGTTAGTCTTGCGATATTTTCATTTCCTAAAATATCACATGGGATGACTGTACGATTACACATGAAAAAATGTCTAAACTATGTTTTTTCATATTAAATTTGATGTAGAATACAAGTCTGTATTCAAAAATGACATTCGAAACCTCATAACCCCTTAAAATTGAAAAAATAGTGTGAAATACCATGAAAGTCAAAAAATGTAGTTGTTCGTATCAAAATCGGTCAAAATTTATTAAAATTTGTCAAGGAATTCAAAAAAAATATTTTCAAATTTTTTCATTGGAACCATCAGGTTCTAGGAACCTTTTTTTGTTAAAAATAGCATTTTTTGGCCCTAGAAGCTATCGCCTTCAATTAAAAAATCTGAAAAAATTTGAGATTATGTATTCTGATGAGAAAAACAAGAAAAATATTTTTTCAGATTTTTCGAGGCTCCGTATCGCTCTAAAAAAATTATTTTCGTCAAAAAAAGCGGTTTTTTGCGTCAAAAGGTGCGTTAGGTCATCTGAAAAAATCTGAAAAAAATTGAGGTAATGTTTTTCAATGCGATAAAAAACTGAAAAAATTTTCGTTTACTATATCGGCTCATATCGCCGTATCTCGATTTTTGAAATTTTCAATAATTTTTTCTGAAGGCCTGAAGCACTCAAAAAATCTGAAAAAATTCAAGGTTGTTTGGATTGTGGAAAAGTATTTTTGTGAATTTTTTCAGATTTTTTAATTGCTTCATATTCCCAGAAAAAATATAGATCGAAAATGGACGTTTATACCGGAAGTGGGGGGTGGGAGGGGGGAGGGGGTCTAAAAATTTTTTTTTGGGACCTTTTTACCATGTACTATAACATACCAAAAGCGCGTCAAGATCGGTGACATACGTGCGCACGGTTTTGTAAAAAAGTATTATTTTGACCCAATAATATACAATCAAAGGACATTTCAAGAAAACATAAAATATTATTCTTTCAACGACGCATGGTCATCTTCGTCGACGGGCAGAATTGTCTGTACCTCTGCATCCAGCAAACTTTCTTCATTCAGAGTTATTTCTTCCTCTGTATCGATTAAACTTTTCTCATCGTCATCTTCATCGACGGGGAGAGTTGTCTGTTCCTCTGCATTCATCAAACTTTCTTCACTCAGAGTTATTTCTTCCTCTGTATCGATTAAACTTTCTTCATCGTCGGTTTCACCGATGGGCAGAGTTTTCTGTTCCTCTGCATTCATCAAACTTTCTTCATTCAGAGTTATTTCTTCCTCTGTATAGATTAAACTTTCTTCGTCGTCGGTTTCACCAATGGACAGAGGTACGTCTTCCTCTGTGTCGATGAGACTTTCTTCATCGGCGGTTTCATCGATGGAGAGAGCTTTCTCTTCTTCCGTATGTATTAAACTTTCTCCATCGTCAATTTCATCAATGAACACATCTGTCTCTTCTTCCATATCTATTATTAAACTTTCTCCATTGCTAATTTCATCGATGGACAGAGTTGTCTTTTCTTCCGTATCTATTAAACTTTCTCCATTGCTAATTTCATCGATGGACAGAGTTGTCTCTTCTTCTATATCTATTAAACTTTCTTCATCGAGGAGTATACGTATCTGTTCCTCTATCTTGTACATTCTCATTTCATCGATGATTTCATCGTCGAACTCTGATGTCTGTTCCTCAATATTGTCAAAACTTTTGTAATTGATGATTTCATTGATGAGCAGACGTGTCGATTCCTCCTCCTTGACCAAACATGGATTGGCACCGTTTTTAATCAGCATCCATACTAAGTACCTATTTCCCGAGTCCAATGCATAGTCTAATGGTCTGTTACCCAAACGGTCCACGCTGTTGACTGAAACTGGAAGCTTCCTCTTGGCACTTATGTCAAACAGCAGCTTTGCAAAGATATGAGCATCTTTATCTTTCTTGCAGATGATGTGAATAGGAGTCTCTCCCCTGGGATTCGCGAAATTCGGATCTGCGCCGAAAATCAATAATAATTTGAACATTTTCTTGGATCCGAAGTATAAAGACAAGTGTAATGGTGATTCAAAATTTATTCCCAGAAGATAGTTGGGCTTTTGCCCGGACTGGAGAAATCTCCTTACAATGTCCAAAGCATTGAACATGATGGCCACATGAAAGTGACTGAGACCAGTGCTGTCAATGTAATTCAAGTCAATTTTCCCGTCGTTCTTGCGATTATTGTCAAACAAACACATCTTCCAACTCATTTGATGTTAGGCTCTTTACCGTAGAACTTCTTCAGCCGAAGCGCGACGAAAGCATCCGTGAAGATCTAAAAAGAATTTTTTTAGGTCAAGAATGTAAGGAAAAGTATTTATTTTGAATAACAATTTTTCAAGATTCCTTTTAAAATTCGTGTTTTTTTTTTTTTTTTTTTTTAAGAGAAAGCCAACTGAATCAAATAAAAGAAGACAATATATTTATTGTCGGTAAAGTAGAAATCTCAGACAAAATTACCGTTTGCTTGGGACCGTTGCGTATGTAGAAGTTTTTTACATGAATGAGTGAAGGGCCTCGTGGGTAAGTGGTTAAGACGCTCGAGTCTCCATGTGGTTCTGGCCAGACATATGGAGGTTCGGGGGTTCGATCCCACCACGGGGCTCGGTGGCGTTCGTCGTTGGATCATCGGGAGAACATCGTTGGATCTTCGCCAAAAAATCGAAGTAAGTGACTCGGGCCGTGAGAGATTTAATTAGTATACAAAACTTAAAAAAAAAAAAAAAGAAAAAAAAGACAAAAAAGGCCAAAAAAAAAATAAAAAAAGACAAAAAAAATTAAAAAAAAGGAAAAAAAGACAAAAAAAATACAAAAAAAAAAGATGAAAAAGACATTAAAAAAAATTGAACACTAGGTACTCACGGCTGGAGAAAAACTCCTTTTGCTCTGAAATTGACAATTTTTCGAATTCGATAATATTCATTATTCGTTAATATTCATTTACTTTTGGAACTGTCGGAGGTTTTTTTTTGAATTTTACTTTACACAACACAAGATTATACTTTTACCATCATTTTGTCAACTATAGTTAGGATACATCAAGATCTCAAAATTTTTTTGGATCACATAGAAGTTTGAATATTGAAAAAACACGAAATTGAAAAATGTATTATAATAATAATAAGTAAAAATTTGAATAATAAATGTCGTGAATTCATGGTCTGAGATAATGAGTCTTGGGAGTTTTTGTATAATTTATCTTGAAAAGTAAAAAGATTTGTATCTTCATTGTTACGGCTAGCCGAAGTTTGATCGAGATTTAATCAAACTTCAATTTTCAAATCCCTCAAACAATAATCAGCACGAATTTTTCACAAACCTCTATGTACTTTTCTTTTTGGTTATTTGATTGTTTGGTGAATTTTTACATTTTACAACATTTTCCAAGGTCTTATCTAAAAAAGTTGGCATTCGACAAAAGGGACAAATCGAGAAGCATGAAAACGCCCTCTTGAATCTTGATTGGTTAGTACTTAAGTAACCTCAACTCAAAACACGAGTGAAAAAATTGAGGCGCGCGGAGCGCGTTTGGAACTTACTATTTGTGAATCTCAAACTTACCAACACAAATAAAAAAAAATGGACACGCGCGGAGCGCGTTTTAAATGTCTAGTTAAATTAAAAATAGCATGTTAGGTCAAATCTTCATTTAAAATAGTTTAATTTTGCTTCCTCTCCGAGCAAGATCTGTGATGGACTCGAAAATAAGTTTTAAACCAGGCATCATATAGACTATGTCGTTTAAATATTTGTTTACCTGATCAAATTTCCAATAAATGTCTGAATATGTTATTTGCTCTCCGACGTTTGTGCAAACCTCAAAGTTTATGCTTTTTCTTACTATAAGCAAGAAAAGTTAAAATTTGCTTTATTTTTGTTCCTTTTGCAAGGATAAAGTTACTTTTTTTGGAAAATTTAGATACTTATTGTATACGAGCGATAATTTAACTGTACAAATAAAACAATTTGCCAATAAGTTATTTTTAAGAGAAAATTTTCCCATTGTTTTAGAAAACTTTGGAGAAAGCCAGAATTTTTAATATGTACTTTATAATAATGAAGGATTACAAATACTTCGTGGGCAAGAAAATGAGTCGATGGTACTGCATACATCATCACATCAATGCATAATTTTGTTTACAGATCATCATTGCCCAGTCTCACTCTAATGACTCCTTCAAATCCCTCGCAAAGCTCGAATTTCCATGGGTATACAATATACATATATGTACTGGCACAATGTGTGCATGCACGTTATTAATTCGAGAAGCGCAATCATAAATTATAAACGCCCCTCAATCGCCTCGTTTATAATATTACACTTTTCCAACATTGTGTGGACATGCTTGTGAATCGCTGTATCCGCTGCAGTTAACAGAGTGAATGCGTTTGCATCGTTTAATCGTAAAAATAAACAGTAGCAAGCGACAACACGCCCATCGTTGCATTCGCCAATTTGATTTAACATTAATACAATTGATATACTCGACGCATCGATGCAATTTTCCGAGATGGTGTCCGTCGTGCTGAATGCATGTTTGTCGACGACCGAAATGATAAGCTAATTGAAATCGCGTGTGTTTGCATGGCAAAACGTTGCGGATCGTCAAAAAGCTGATCGATTCTTCCGCTGGCGAAAAATTGAACTTAATTGGCAACTGAATTTATCCCTCTGGAAAACTGCGGGGATCGACGACGAGCTGTTATTACAACTGCGAGAAAGTCGGTGGAATTAAAAGCTCGATTTGAAACTATTTTTTGGCATTTCCTGAATTTTGGTTGAAAATAAAAAATGACACGAGGCTGATTCAATGGGACATATAGAAGCTCGTAGTTTGAGCTTTAACGTCGCGAATCGTAAAGCGCACGTTATTCTCAATGATAGCGATCGATGCAGGTATGACAAAAAATGGGAACAATGTTTGAAAATACCGTTTTGGCAATTCGCTCATTAACGCATCAGAAACAAAAAGCCCAAAACATTGATTATTGTACAACATTTATGCGTCTCGTAAAACTGGCACTCGCAAAAAAGCTAGATTCAAATGTAGCTCTCGAGCGCTCGGTCGACTTCTCGTCGGAGCTGCTCTCGTTTCGTTGGCTTAAGCACACTCGTGTAATAGGAAAACAGTTTAGAGACCTATAGGAGTGCAGCTGTAAAACAAACGTAACCGCCGTTTTTATGTTGCACACGCAACTCTAGTGCAAAGCTCGGAAACGATCGCGCGGGAAAAATTAATGCCAACGCGCCACGCGAGGGAAAAATTTTATATGCAAACTTTGGGCTTGACCTTGCTCTGCATTACCTATGTATAGAGAAAGCACGCAAAGTATAAAATCATTATACAAAAAGCATTACAATTAAATTTGATATATTCGTGTTGTTGGGCATTAATGAATTTGTGCGTTGGCCGTTTAATTTATTAATGCATAAGAGATTAAAAAAAATTACCTAATTCGCGATTAGGTCTAGACGATCAACACTGTCGATAGATGCGATCGATCGTCTTAATCCATTACATGCACAGTACAAATACATACTTCAGCCGTTGTTACTTCATCCGAGTTCGTAAATTATAATTGACTTTCTTACCCAAGCTTTAAAATTCAATCGAGCCTGTCCGCCGAGTGCTCGCGCCAATAAATATTCAAAATGTGTATAATTGATGGTGTAATAAATGGGCAGTGTGTGTAGTTATATAGTACATACGTAAGCAATTCTAGATGTCTACGGGTAACATTTGAACTTAAAATTGAAATTGAAATTGTTGTCGTTGGCGTTAGTAATTGTTCACTATGGTCCATAAACAGGGATAATGAGTGAAAAATGGAAATTTTTATAGGATTTTTTTACAGCTATTTTGGTAGTGCCAAGGTCGAAAAATCGTGTTTTTACATTATTGATATTGCCGTAATTGTTTTTTTTCTACTCTTTTGACTTTGGGTCATGGAATAGTCTACTAAAATCTAAATGTTTATAACCATTAAAAAAATAAACTTGAATTTTTCAAAATTTTTATCGAACTTCGATGACTTTCGAAATATGGTCTTATTTACAAACCCTTATAGTGTTTTGAACATTTCTTGAAAATTCACGTGTGTTTGAACGATTTCAAACCTACTTTATTCTGTAAATAAAAGTTCTGGAGAGTGTAAGTAGGCATGTTTATAAGAAAAGCTAGCTCATGCATTACCCTACATTTTTTCAATACTTCGATTTCGAACGTCAATTGCGCGCATTCAAAGCCAAAAATTTCAATCGCGACAGCTTCGAATTTTGCCTATGGTTTTTAAAATTGCTCGTGTAAACTTCAATTAGAAGCAGTAAATGAACATATTTTGGCATATTTTTAGCGAAACCTATCGGCAGATTGTACAAAGAGCAAAGCGACGGTCGAGTGGCGGGCTGCACACATTAATTGGGATTGGACGCGGTCAAAGGTTGGAGAGGAGAGATCATAGTTGCGGGATAATCTCGCTTAACTCAACGACCGATGAGTTAACTTTTTTGTGTGAAACTGAGTTCTACGACAAGTAAGCGTTTACAAATTATTTCCGTAAAAAGTTATATACTAGAAATTGAACAGCATCAACTATTCGAAGTGTTAACCTCAAATGTATCCATTGTGTGTATCGTTAAAATTTATAGTGAATACATACGTACACATAAAAGAGTGATGGAAAACTGTAGTAACTTTATAAGGTAACAATTTTATAGTGTTATAACGACACAAAAACATTCTAAGCAATCCCTTTGTAAACTAAATTATTCTTCAGGGTAAAGGAAGAGCCGAGCGATACTGTGACGAATGCAGGGGACGATTATGTCTTTGATTCAGTGGACTTTAGCAGAGCCGAAAATTTGAAAACATTGCCGTTTCATAAATTTCCCGTAATTGTAATTATTTGAATAACTTTTTGTTGATCGACTATGAGAAACCAGTTCACAATTTTCATTTTAGGTTGACTACATGAACGAGGCTATGCCCTTGAAGGAGAGGCTAGATGAAAAAATAATCATAGATTTGGAGTGCAAAAATGTTAAATCTGAACTGCCACCTCTATTAACAACTATCTGCAAATTTGAATATCAAAGTTCTCCATCTGTTGTGAAAAAAAAAATCAAAGTTCCGAACAATTACATAAATGAAAAAAGTCTCATAATTTTGATTAAAAAAGGGTTTATTTATGATAGTAATTGTCGACTGAAATATTTGAAACTTTCCGGAAATGAGAATCTAAAACAATTAAAAAAAACATCGAATCAGTCCAAAATGTGTCGAGGAATAAGCAAGGTACAAGCAAATCTGAAAAAGCATACGAGTAAGATATTTAAAAAAATTAAATCGTATGAATGTGACATTTGTCCTAAATCATTTGGATACAAGTGTGATCTCAAAAAACACATAACTACTGTACATGATCTCATTAAACCGTTTGAATGTGAAATTTGTCACAAATCATTTGGACAAAAAGGTACCCTCAACAAACACATAAGTGCGGTACATGATCGGAGCAAACCCTTCGAATGTGACATTTGTCATAAATCATTTGGGCAAAAAAGTACTCTCAATGCTCACACAAATGCAGTACATAATCGGAGCAAACCCTTCAAGTGTGACATTTGTCACAAATCATTTGGACTGAAAGCAAACCTCAAAATGCACATGAATGCAGTACATGAACGTAGCAAACCCTTCGAGTGTGAGATTTGCCACAAGTCATTTGGAAGAAAAGATCACCTCGAAATTCACATAAATGTAGTACATAATCGGATCAAACCATTCAAATGAGAAATTTGTCACAAATCATTTGGATACAAGTACATCCTCAAAATTCACATAAATGCGGTACATAATCGGAGCAAACCCTTTGAATGTGAGATTTGTCACAAATTATTTTCAAGCAAGAATAATTTCACCCGACATGTATGTAAGGGAAGTACATGATCGAAAAAAACCACAAATCATTTGGACAAAAAGCGTTAGTACAATACATAGATGTAATATATAGGGCTGTGCGAGTATCCTATTTTTCGAGTCGAGTCGGGAAAATTCGAGTACTCGAGTTTTTTCGAATACTCCATTTTTTTTCGAGTACTCAAGGAAAAAACTCGAACTCGACGAGTCGAGTTTTTTCGAGTACTCGCACAGCCCTAGTAATATATAATCGGAAAAAAACATTTTATGTGACATTTGTCACAAGTTATTTAGCCACAAGGATCATTTAATAACTCACATAAATACATATCATAATTACATCAAATATGTTGTTTAATGAGATTCATAACCGAGACATGTATCGCAATGTTTGAAAACTTTTGATATAATTTTTCTTTAATTTTGTAAAAAAATGTTACAGTGATTTATAATTTTATAAATTTTGTCATAACTAAAAGATTCGTCGTTTTTATTAAATTATTATATAATATAAAACATATTGAACGAAAATTATTTTTAAACCTTTTTGTTTTTTCGAAATCTGTTCCAAATCCCAAATTCCTCATCAAAACTTACCCTTAACAGTTAGAAGTCACTTAAAATTATATCATTTAAATGAAATTTTTCAGACTTTAATGAATGTTTCATAATGTATTAGATGTCCCAAAAAAGTGAATACTTTCGGAAATTGAAAACACGGAATAAGTAGTCATACCACGGTAAAACGCGATTTGTCGTGCTCTGCAACACAAATTTACCTATGAACAAATATTTCTTATCAAATGTATTTTTGAAAATATTGAAAAATTATCAACGTAAATGACACTCGCTGAACGGAAAAAATTTTAATTACGATTTTAGTTTCAAATTTCAGCGATGATTTGTAGATTCGTTGATATGTATGCTTAATGTATATCCATGCGATTCCGTCGATATTATATACAGACTTGGCTTAAAGCGCGTCCATAAGCATAATGAAAGCTTCCGCAATCAGAGATCAGTAGCAGTGGCACCGCAGCTTTATGATATTATTTTTTTTAGCACGAGAGAGCAAGCGCATAATCGGCATCAACCTAGTTTCGACTTCGAGCAGCAGCAGCAGCTCCGTTTATATACGCAAATTGTAAACGTGCTCTCATGACGCTGCCGCCTCTGCTTTGACCCAAACTCGACGCGCGATCGTTTTTCGCGTATGAATTATTTCGAATCGTTTGGAATTCTTACACTAGACTATTATTGCGTTAATTATTTAAACTGATACGTGCGCGCGAGGAGCAAGCTCGATTGCATTTTTTGATGGGATGTAAAAAATACAACTATAATTCATGAATGAATCGCGTGTGTACATTCGCGAGCTTGAAACAAATAAAAATTAAGTCTAATCGAAAAACAAGTAGGAATTATTTTTCCGACAATTTTTAGCGCGTGGCAAAATTTAGGCTATTCTTAAAATCTCGAGCCACTTTTAATTTGTTCATGGCAGAAGCCCGATCAGAAGAGTCTTCTTGGAGTGCATTATCTATAAAATCAAATTATTGCCAAAATGATGCATCTGAAAAACAGGGCTAGCCACGCGAAGTTTTCGCGCCTAGTTTTTAATTGCTTTTTTGCCGGCGCATTCCTTTCGCGCGTGTAGAGTCAGCAATATAATTTATACGATTATGCGAAACGTTAAAATGCTAAACTCGAGCTCGGCTCTTTAATTTCATTGAATGAAATCGTAATGTATGTATTCAACGTGGATTACTCTAAATAGGCTACCTTTTTTTCCTCCTCCTTCCCATTTATCTCTCTTTCGAGGGCATTTGAATATTTTACTTGGCGAGTAGATTTTTCGAAACGTATAAAACGTGAAATTTTATCGCTAACTCGAGCTAACTTGAGCTGTGTCTCCCTCGTCTGCATTTATGTACCCGCGCGCGTGGCATTGGTGATTTTACTTCTCTCTATTCGTGACTATATACTTGATATATCTTTGCGCGTGCATTTTTAACTTTTGAAAAGACTAAAAATTACTTTTTTAAAGCGTTCTTTAAAGCTTGAAACAAAAAATGCACCACCCGCTGCTCAACCTGACAGTTTCAATCCAATAATATAAGGATGACCTATATACCTGCGGAAACAAAAGTCTAAAGAACTGTTTACATTTTCTTCGTAAATTAGATCAGCTCGCGAATAATACTTACCTTATATTCATGAGCTTTTTGCGATCCCTAACAGTAACTTCAAGAAATACAAACTTTACCTCGGCTTCATTCAACATTTTTAATTCGAGCAAAATGTGAAATTCTGGCTATTCTGAACATTATTTTTTTTGCATCTTCTGAAAATGCATATAAGCATTTGCGCAAAATTCGTTCGATGGAAAGATTGCCGTTGATGTACAAAAATTGAATATTCACTTGCAATATCCGTGCTATGTACGTACAAGCTATACCAGAGTCGACGAAAATTCTCCGATAAACGAACGACCGAGGTAAAACTAAATTTATATTACTCGTGCGTACCCGATCGCAAGAATGCAAATTATGTTTTTGCATTTTGAACTTTTCTCAAGCATTTTTAAATGTTGCAAATTAATTTCTGCTTGGACCATTGTGCAAATCACTTACTGCAATGCATGTGCTATGAACTTTTGATGGAGCTTTGTATGATTGCTTTTGACAACGAGCTCGAGTCACTCGATGTTCTTTTTATTTTTTTTACATTTAAGATTTAGTTTTTCACTTTCTCAAGATGAAAACTCGTGTCCAGTTTTCCATTGAATGATTCTTTCGTTTCGAATTCATCCGTTGATTTGCAAGACTATATATGTTGTCTGTACCGAACTGCATACTCACCACAAATAAAGTGAGCTAATTTGACGATTGCGTTTACTTCAATCGCCAATAATGAAATAACGTTTTGCAATAATGAAATAACTTCGGTAATCATTCGATCATTCAGTTTGCTCTTCATCCTGGCTTTATTTTCATATTATACGCTCTGGCCAACGAGAGATCTAATCCACGAATTTAAAAATCACTCGAAACAATTAAATCGAGCTCCGGGACGTATACCTTGAACGCATAGTCGCGTTTCACAATCTCACATTCCTGCGACTCTTGTATATATGGGTATGAAACTGCAGCAGCACCGCTACTGCTGCTGCAATGAAATTCAGACATCAGTATAATAATCGTCGACGTAATGCACGGTAATGTAACCTTGCAACAGGTAAATGCAATCGCTGCCTCACACATGTATACATACACAAATCAGCTGTGAGTATATAGGAAAAGTTCGAGTAAGATATACATCCGATCGCGTGAGCAGCAGCAGCATCGATCGATCTATCCTCGTCGTCGTCGTCTCTGCAACGTTTATTAATTATTATCGCGTCCGCGTCGAGCGCGCGAATTAATCTTTATTTTTTTCGGGTCACGGGTACATAATATACACGTACTCAAAACCAAACAATAATAAACGCACGTTTATGAGCAGAACGAAGAGAACAATGAACAAACGCGAATTGTTTCGCGCCGATGTATATATAATAGTTGCAGCAGCGTTTCCTCAATTTCACCGTGGCGCTTGACCGTGCCCCGGAGAGAAAATCATTAAGTGTTTATCGTCTCAATTAAGGCAGGATTATTTTTTACTCGTCAAAGTCCAGATGGTCGATCATCAAGGATAATCCGTGTAAGAGCCCTGTAAAGATGTAATGGTAATAACTGTAAATTCGATTTATTGATCTGTATTAGAAAAAAAAAGTACTGCCAATATATTGGCAAAGAACTCCCTCCAAAATATATGACTATCCCTGTTTGTATGTGCCATAAAAACTAATCCCTCTTCCTTTCAAATTTTACATGTGATATTTCAGTTGGTGTAACTTATGAAATTAAAATTGAGTATATTCGTGTGCAGTAAGAAAATTACATGATATTTAACATATTAATAAAAGCTTTGATTCTTATTCTCAGTTCAATAGGTTCGCAAGTTAAAAGATACAGAAAGAACTTGAATTTACGCTCCGTCTGTGTTTTTGACAGCGCGCCTAGGACACCGCATCGGGTGCCTAGCACACGCAACGTTTGTAGAAAGAATTTTTGAAGAATGAAATTTCTGCTTTCTATCGCACGTGCGTGTGCCGGTCTCGTAACAGCAAACAGCAGCGATGCCAAAAATTACTTAGATATTCTTATATGAAGCAGTGGAATCGAAATTATGATTGAACTTGTAATAATCTGAGTAAAGGTTTAGAATTATTTAAGAGTATTAGCTTTTTTAAGGGTAAATAGCAATAGGTGAAAAAAAAATTTTAAAACATCAACAAAATTTCTTTATCAATAATAATTTTATTCTATTATTCTTTTTCCTGTAAAAACTCTTAATTTGAGATTCAAATTGCTTCATTAATACTACAACAGAGTTTATTTTCTTAATAATATTCTATATAAAATATGTACTCTCTATAAACAAATTTGATATCTTGAAAAATTGATTTATTTCTCTCAGTACATTATCTTTTATTGAGAAGCTAAGGACAGCAATACATTTGACTTTTTGACAAAATAGTTTAAATTTGATCTTGGTTGAATTTGTCAATTGTAAAACTTTATCCATTCTATTTACAGCCTTATTTTATTCATTATTTAATATAAATAATATATAATGTGATCTACATAGAAATTTTCTGAATTATTGAAAATTTTTTGTTCATAAGCCTGATAACATTTCTGTCATTCTTAGTTAACAGCAAAATTTTAATAGATTGTTTTGATAATTCATTATTTATGTACAATTATAGACATTCCTGTCATTTCCAACAATCCTAATTTTTACAATTACAAATTTATACTGAAAAACATTTTATGTACATTATGTAACCATAATTGCTTTAGTCTTTTCCATGTAATAATATATGTGATGGGTATATGCGTAAAAGGCTGCAAAACCAAATGCCCCTACAAAGCCCATTTTTCCCGCTGAAAAAAAAATTTTTTTTATATTTTGCATAAATTTAAGTTAAAATATTTGTGAATTACCTCTTAGCGCCAGCATGCCTCCTGTCAATGCTGCTGCATAGGTACCATTTTTCGAATCATTTTTTCCTCGATACTAAAAAGTAATAAAGAATACATCTTAACTTCAATGTTTATTTTTTTTTTTTTTGAATATATATTTTTTATTTTTCTTATTACTTATTTACTTGTATAAAAGAGATGGGTTGAAAAATAAAGTACTTTTAAATGGCCTTTGATTGGTCAAGTTACCTGTGATCCAAGACAAAATGGGATAAAAAGTCACTGTAGTTCAATTAAAAAATAGATAGATGTTGTAATGCAAATTTACTCACAAATTCTATTGTAAATTCAGCAGCTGAGAAGACGGCACGAATAAGAACAAAACTTTTTGCAGTAGAAAAAGTAGCGATATTCGAGTCTCTTAAAACTTTTGTGAATCTATATGGTTTTTTAATAGATACAACATTTGGTATCACAGTTATACTAAACAAATCAATACCAGCTCCCAAAGCCAAACCTATAAGGAATGTAATTTAATATTCAAATGAGAATGCATGTATAGAGGAACATTTTTGACACTTTATTAATCGATTCGTACCTGCAATACCACTAGTTATACTTTCATTCACACAACTTCGTACACCATTTGACATATTTTTTTTTATTTGTTGTGATACAGCCACCACCCAATGAATGAGGAATAATGATTTTTTCGCGATATGGTTGTGGATTATCAATCATGTTCATAATTGCTATCTTGTCCCATTTGTCATTTAGCATGGAGACAGGGTTGAATTTTTCATCTGGAACATCTACAAGCGGTGGTTTTTGTTGGGCTGCAATTGGCCCAGGGGAATTATTAACTTGTATCATTCTAACTGTTTGCCACCGATGCCAAAAGCAGCAGAGAAAAAAAATCTGTCGGTCGCCGAACCACGAAATTTCAAGATCTCATGTTTCAATCTCATTATCTTATTTTCATCTACTGTTAGCCATGCTTGTGCTTAAGATACTTCAGATGTATTTTGAGGGATCGGCATGTAACAGAAACATTTCGAGTGAGAATTTTATCAATGAATTTGATAAAGAATTTGAAACTCTTTCAAATGGTCACGAAGATACACGCGTTAATACAAATAATNCCTATAAACGGATCGTGCCTTGAATGTTGGGCCTTTCCTATAAACGGAATGTGCCCTTGAATGTGCTAAATTACTCGAGAGCTCCTGCTACATCCCTCCTCCATCGACTAAGCTCTTGATATGAATTAGCGGGGACGAACTTTGATCGTGGCGAGGATTTTTGTACAGTTTTCAAAAGTTTTCTTTGAAACAAATGAGAGCCGATCAGGTTCTGTTAAAAATGTATTCGTGTTAATAGAAGGAAAAAATTTTAAAAATAAAAAAATTTTATGATAAATAACACAAAAACATGTTATCAAATTATTTATAAACCTTGCCATTTTTTTACATTAACGAAATTAAACATGGTTAAATATGCTTAATCAGTATGAAATTATAACCATTGAATAATAATCATCGAACCACACGCATACACGAGTCAAGGTAGGAGTAAGTACGTATAGAAGAAGCACATACTGGCCACGATTACAAAAAAAAACTCTGCGAGGCGCGCCGAAATGTAACGGAATGTAGAGTACAGTCGTGGGTTAAGGCTCCTCTATACAGAGGGACAAATACCGACATACCGATATTATTTTGTACCCATTTTTTTTATTCTCTAGACAACCGTTGAACTTGAAACTTCGTGGGAGTGATTATGAAACTTATAAAAATGTGCCTCTGGAGCCAGTTTTTAATAAAATGTTCAATAAAATCATTTTAACTAATTGTTTGAGAATACGTTACTTTTTAGGTTATAAAAGGGGGATAATAGAACATCAAGTTTGTTTGAAAGTAGCGGTCATTTAATTGAAAACTGGCTCCAGAGGCACATTTTTATAAGTTTCATAATCACTCCCACAAAGTTTCAAGTTCAATGGTTGACCAGAGAATAAAAAAAATGGGTACAAAATAATTACGTACTTGTTATCGACTGTGTGTGTATAGAGGGCCCTTAAACGCGCTCACACACTCGAGGGTTGTGGAACGCTCATAATACACATGCAAGGCGCTGCGTTAGTTTGTATTATTATACCTAGAGATGGATAGTTGCAAACTCGAGCGCCACTGCTGCCGTCGTGGGTGCAGCTGCACTAACGTTGAACACCCGAAAAAGGGGTGTATACACCAGCAACAGCAGCAGCAGCAGCAGCGGTGGTGAAACTGGTGAGTGCGCTCGCGCAATATCACAATGCTCCGAGTCTCTCTCTCTCTTTCTCTCTTTTGCCTTTTCTGAGTACTTATACTGCGCTCGCACACACAACGACGTCTTATATATCGCCTCTGTTTGTGTATGCGCGTGTGTATGTACACCGTAGGGTTACGATATCTCCGCATAAGACAGCAGCAGCAGCAGCAGCTTATACCTACCAGTGCAGCAGCCGCAGCAGCCTCGTTGCGTTGTGCAACATTACTCATAAGTGTAACGCGACGTCTAGTAGTAGCAAAAGCTCCAAAGCTACGGGGGGGCCCCGCCGTAAAAAGGGCTCTCGTGCAGTGCTCCGCGAGAAGGACGACGACGACTACGACGCGAGCTGCTGCTGATTTTTTAGTGCGCGACGCCGATAATTGTGTGCATTGCAGCACGTGTGTGTGCGTATGTGTGTGTTTGTGTGTGTGCACAAGTGACGCAGAGTTTATCGTCGTGCGAGCGAGCCCATACATATAATAGGTGAATTTCTTTAAGTATATTGGTATACAGAATTACTCTCGCTCCGGCTCTCCATCGTCTCCAGTACAGCAGCAGCAGCATCAGCAGCAGCAGCAACAGCAGCAGCAGCAGTAGAGCAGAGTTGGAGCTATATATCTATATCTGCTGCAGTCTCTGCACTGCACATACGTGTCAGTGCAATCACACGCAGACGACGACGACGACGATTCAGCAAAACTGCCAAGAACGGCAGCAGCAGCAGCCTACCCCCGATAATCCGCGCGCACGCCTTCGAGTGCCCGTAAGGGCTGAAAATCACAGCGTGTTACACATAGCAATGGGCGCTCGCGAGTAATCATATAGTGTAGCAGTGATCGAGCTCGCTTCGGATCATCCTTGCATCGTCGTCATCATGCACCTTCGACTGGAACTCGTGCAGCTACCGCTGCTGCTTACCGCGACACCCATCGCCAGTACGGCTCCGCGGCCGTCTCGTCCTCGTCGAGTGGCGAGCCTCGTCGTCGAGTGCTTGTTCGAGCCGAACAGAAGTCGTCGTCATTAGTCATCGCGAGTGCAGTGCGTGTGCGTGCAGTTGTCCGTCTGTGCAGAGCCTATCCTATTATAAATATATAGTTGTATATATATATACACAGTTATATGTAATATACGGGACACGCCGCGCGCTGGAGAGAAAAAGCTCGACCAAAAACACGCACAAATAATAAGAGAAGAAAAAAGGAGCTCACGCGTTATTTCACCTTTTGCTATACAAGGGGAGAGCTTGATGTTTCTCACGATCGTCGCGCAGTTCCGTTTTTAACGTACAACGCACACATACACAAGAAGGATATATAAAAGGATATTTATTACGAAAAAAAAGAATACAGAATACACTGCTGCTCCTGCTGGTACGGCATACATAATATCTCAACGAGGAGCCGAGGGAGCTGCCGAACAGCGAGAGAGATATAGAGCTTTGGCGAATATATATATCTATTCCCCGAGAACGAGACGACGTGAGCGGCTGCCAAGTTTCTCGCTCCATCGTCGTAGTCGTATAGTCGTCCATCGCAATATTCGCAATATAACACGGTATAGGCAGTGTGCAAGTTGCAACACCGACGACTACTGTCTCCCTTTCTCTCTCTCTCTCTCTCTCTCTCTCTCGACTACTTGGATTATAATGTAGACATAGGCACATTACATATAGACACAGTGATAATTCCGAGGCTGTGCTATGCTGCTGCGACTGTGACTGCTGCGACTACCACTCCGAAACGTGTATGCACATGCAGAAACATATGCTGTAAGGCGAAAAAAGGGCCTCCCCCTTCTCATCCTCTCTCTCTCTCTCTCTCTCTCGCTCGCTCGCCCGCAATCGTTATCTCTCCTAACCTTTTTTTTCGCACGCGCGCGCGAGTGATACTCTCGTGTGCAGTGTGCAGAATAAAAAAAACTGACTGTGCGTACTCGTCCAAAGGGTCGTCGGAGTACAAAGAAGAAAGAGGATCGGCCTCCCCGTGAGTGTGAGTAGTGCACGCACGTGTATGTGTGCGTGTGTGTAAGAAAATCAGTGCAGTGCCACATAATTATCATCGTCGCGCGACAAGGTGGACAAAATTGCCGCGCGACTGGGGGTTGAAAAATAAACATTGACGAGGATTTATATACTGCTATTTCGATACACAGTATAATTACACTGCTGCTGTGCTGCTACTGCTGCAGCCCTATAGTGCCTATATACATACACCCTCTCAGTGTGTGTCCCTCTCTCTCCTCTCTTCTGCTACCCGCCTAATACGATTCTAGTGTCGCGCGACTCTGTCCGCTGCTACTATACGGCGCTCTCAGGCTCTCTCTGGACTATGTTTTATAAATAAAAATACGTGTGTGTGCTGGTGCGGGTGCGCGCTTCGAATTCAAGTGTCTCGTGTTGCTGCTGTGCGTGTTCGCGCGTGTGTGTGTGCTGTCTATTAAGGCCTCCTTCGTCTTCATCTATTCTCTTCGTCTTTTTTGTTGTCGCATCACTACACCAGCAGCAGCAGCGTGTCGAGATAGAGCTTTCTTGGCATACATGTGCGTGAGTATTGGTGCTGCTGTCGTCGTCTGTGCTACCACTGCTTGTACTACTGCTACCGTTATTCGTCTGCAGCAGCGTGGAGCACGAGGATGGCCGAGTTACGCTGCAGCTCGTGCACTCGCTGCAGTTGTCACCTGCAGTTCCAATATCAGTACGATAATAGCCGCCACTCGAGATCGTCGTCGCCGTCTTCTCATCCCTTTTCTTCTTTGCCCTGTCATATCGAAGACGTCGTCGACGTCGTCGTCGTCGCCTGTAACGTCGCCGATGCGACTGACACTACTAACGTCTTCGGGCAACGACAGCGGGACTGCTGCTGATGCATTGAAAACACGACCTCCCGCGGAGGATTGAATTAATTCATTGTACCTGTGTGTTTACGCGCAGCATCGAGAGATTTAATCATACGGAGCGAATGAACAAAAAAGAAGAAAACAAGTCAAGACGATGAGACAAGCAACAGCACCGTCTTCTATTGCTACTACTCTTCTTTCCGATTCAGTCGCGTGAGAGAGAGAGAGACAAGTCGGAGCAATCGAGCAATTCTTCCACACTCGATACACGTTCATAGCGTAATTTTGAAGTATAGCGCGTGCGGCGGAGCAATCGACACGACACGCAGCTGTCAGCTAGTGTACATGTAATAGCTGTAAAGTCGACCCTTGCCACGTGATACCCCCCCGTGTGTACGTTAGTGCGTGTGTGTATTCGTCGATTCGTATACCACAACACAATCACGGCTAAGCGCAACGAGTATACCACCACAGACAGTTCGCGAGTTGTGCGGTCTGCTGTAACGACGTGTTTGCAGCGAGCGAGTGCAACATCATCGTCGTCGTCGTGCACAATCATCTTCTTCAACTGCCTAGTCCCCCCTTGTACAGAGCGCGTCATTCTGCTGAGTGAGAGTGATGGCGTCCTCGCAAAAGGGTATACAGATTGGCAACGCCTGGTTCCAGAAGAAGATTAATCTGAGGCCTCAGCACCGGGGTGTTCACCTGGTCACAGAAGAGATACTCAGGCAGATACCGGAGCTCTGCCAATTCTCAGTTGGCCTCTGTCACATACAAAGTACGTTGCTGTTGCTATTTCTTTATGTCTCATGAGTTGTTGACACTTTTAATGCTACCATTAGTACCTCACAATTAAAAAATTAGCATTGTTGGTTGAATACTTTTGTAAAGCATTGAAAAGTGTTGTCTGCATAATCTTATAGGTTATGTGGTTGCATAGTGTTTAGAGTTGATTTTTATATTTTATAAAAAAGTAATGTATAAAAAGCGAGCCCAAACATAGAAAATACCTATCCAATGATTTTTTTACATACAAGTTGTTATTTTACCGTTACAGTTCTACATACGTCAGCCAGTTTAGCGCTGAACGAGAGTTGGGATCCTGATGTGAGAGATGACATGGAAATGATGCTCAATAAAATAGTTCCTGAAGGATTGCCATACAGGCACAGCTGCGAAGGACCTGATGATATGGTAATAAAAACAATTTGCTCAATAGAAGTTCTTAAACATTTTGTTAAAAATATTTTGATAACATTGTAATGAAATAATATAAGATACAATGAGAAATATCAAATATCTTTCACTCGTCATAAGCTTAGTTATTTTTGATCAATAGAATAAAATTACACTAATACAAATATCTTATTTAAACTATGTATAACAGTTAAACTAATCAAATTATCTAAAACAATCAATTTAGGTCACTGTGCCTAATTTTACTCAGCTAAGCCCCTAATTTTTACGTAAGATCAAAACTTGATACCTGTATTTAAATAACATACTTATGTTAAACACGTGTGACTAAATACAACCAATTTACAGTGACCTTATACTGTTTTTGTTGTATTATTGTAATTATATTCAATTGACTATTAAGTTGAGTAATATTAAAAACTAAAAAAACATTAGGCAATGAAAAGTATAAGCAAGATTGTCTAAACTGTATATCTTGTTATTTTTCAGCCGGCTCACGTCAAAGCCTGCTTTCTGGGTTCATCGCTGAGCATCCCCATAACCGAGGGCAAGCTGGCCCTGGGCACGTGGCAGGGCGTCTGGCTGTGCGAGCATCGCGACCACGCGGGCAGCCGCAAGCTCGTGCTCACGCTCACGGGCTGCCTGCGCGACTCGGCGCGCAGCCCCCTCAGCCCCGTCAGTCCCATCGCTTCGACGTCCAGCTAGGACCACTCGCACCCGCGTAACAGACGCGGAAAACGATCGGGCAGCAGTAATCTGCGCAAGTCGACCACGTCGAGCAACGCCAGCTAGCAGACGCCACCGCTGTCGTCGCACTCGAGCTACAGTGGCCGGGTGGCAAGATTGGCCTCCATGGAGAAGGATATATAAATATAAATTATATTACGTAACGATCTTGCGAGACACCCTTCTGCGTGAGAGCCGCCGTGCTGCCCTTACGAGGACGAGGACGAGGACGACGACGTTGGACGACGATGACGAAGAGGAAGACAAGAACAAGTGCTTCTCTACTTCCCTCGACGATATATATTATTACTACTGCTGCCTGTGCAACGCAAAACGCGACGCAACATACAACGCTGCTGCTGCGGCTCCGCAAGAGAAGAAAGACAAACGCAACCACGGTATGGGCTTTGTTTCTCTCTTTCTCTTTCTCGAGCCAGGAGGACAGCTTCTTACCAAAAAAAAATATTGTACGTCGCTAAGTTCTATTCTATATGAGGCGCGCGGGTGCGTTAAACTAGAATATTTAAATCATAAACGACATTTACCTTTCGACGAAGCGATCGAGTGCTGTAGATTGAACATCACTTCCCCGCCTCTCGATTGACGAGAGAGAAAAAAAGACACACGCACTCGTGTCGATCGATCGGTAAACGTTTTATTTTGCTTAGAACTTTATTTTCTATTAATGGATAATATAAATGCGTATGTATGATGTGTGAAACAATCATATGAATCATTCCTGTAAAACAAGAAACGAAACGGTGAAATAAAGATAAAGATTATTAAATATAAAATAGGGATTGAATCGTTGAGTCTAGGTGATTATTCCCCCATCACTTACATTCGACGATGTTTGGTATAAAATATCTCTTTGCGTCCGAAACAAAAAAAATACAAGAATTACAGGATAAGTGGAAACAAAAAAATAAAAAAACCATTACCCAATTTAATTCAATCATGATCGAGCCTATATAGAGACAAAAACTATATTCGATTGATAAAGACCGAATCTCCGATTATTTTTGGAGACGAAAAAAAAAACAAAACTACTATTATATAATGCGCACGTTGATTTCCTAATAATGCGGATGTGTATGAGATAAAATTGTAAATTTCAACATTCCCTGATTTGGAGATGAGCATACACGTCGAGGACGATTTGATCGTGGGTTCTCGTATCGGTGGTGTGTAAATTAAAATATTATATAAAGAAAATGATATGCATGTGTAGAAAACAAAAAATTAATTTCAAATGAGTATAGTAATGACAAGGTGAACAAAAATACGATGTTGTAATATTGTCGGTATCCGACACCGCCATATATAACAATAATGAAGAGCGCGGGTACTTTTGCCCCGATTTTCTTCGTATTTATAAAAAAATAACATTCTACAAGAACTTGTACAAATGCACAGTGAGTTAGTCTGATTAATTCATTTACATAAAATTAATGATCAAAATTGAAGAGGGAATTTTTTTCTTTTCACAAGCTGTGACTTCAAAATATGCATATATATAATTATATAATAAAAAAAATATACTATATACATACATATTTGAAGGTCAATTTATAAATATATATTATATATTTATATATACACATAGAAAAACAAAAAAGTATATCACAACAAGCGATTGTATGAAAAATAATGAGCAAATTCTGTCCGATACTGTAAAAGTTACTCTTATAATATATCATTGATCGATATACGTAAATAAATTTCAAGACGGAATAAATATATATTATTACTTCCTATTTGAGAAAAAAAACAGCACAAAAAGTTTGGGATGAATCACGAAAACACGTAAAAAAAAATTATACTCAATTATCTATACACTCTCCCCCCTCCCCCCCAATTACACACCTACACAGACACATTCAAAATTTCGAACGCGGCGATATATAAAAAAAAACAAGTTACCTTGTAACTGCATCAAAAGCTTATTTCAGTATATCCACGAGAGCAACAATTTTTGGCTTGTTATTGACTTGCGAGTGCGAAATTAAGTATTTGCAACATTCCATTTTTGACACTACTTTCATTCCGAAAAAATCAAATAAGTAAAAACATTGATATTATTAAATAAAACGCAGATTGATAACGAAATAAAAAAAGAGTTTTTCGATTTTTGGTACCTGCTTGTATAAGATATTGTAATTTTTTCAAAATAATTATATAAATATAAAAAAGTTTTTTGATAAAATCGACGACGGAAAAATTTGATAAAAAAATAACTGCTAAGTTTAGGTGAGACGCTTTGACACCACACTTACATGGTAATATTAATAATAATTACGAATGAAACGCATAAATTGACAAAAAAAACCAGCACAGTATTTAATTTTCAATTACTCGATACTATTACATAACGAACTATTTACGTTACGTAGTTTCAGCGAATTTTTCAAACTGAGTGATCGTAGTCGAGCATTTACAAATGCTGCACATGAAAATCAGGGTGAGTTAAAGTTTTGAAAAAAATGCAACAAAAAAAAAGCAGAAAAAAAATTATAAAAACAAATCGACGGCCAGGATGATTTTTGCCTCGAGAGTGTTATACAAAAGTGCGTCATCTTTGCAATTGTATATTTTGTATAATTCGTGTCATATAACTTATATTAAATAATATAGCGAAATCGCACAATCTTCGTACACATCGCTATTTAGAGTCGTTATGAAAAACAAAACAAAAAATAATAATTATGTACGCGCGCGCAGAAGATCGAGTTTCCGTGCTACGGCAAACTTTACCTTCGCAGCGAACAGTTTTTTTGTAAAATTCTTGGAGAATATAAAACGAATACTGTGTCTGATCCGAATCTGCAAAAAAGCAAAAACAGTTATATCAATCGAGAGAAAACCCAAGGAAACATGAAAAAAAACTCTCAATCACTGATTAAGGATGCATTGATTTCATGAAAGACGAATGAAGAAAATAAAACGAGTAGAGTTTTACCTATCGGATTTCATACGAAAATACACAAAACAATTACTATAGAATAAAGTATCATCGTTATTACTCGATCAACACAAGTTTCTGGAAATATGAGCTTTAACAAAAATATTAAAATAACAAAAAATAAAAAATGAAAATTCGCGCAAGACCAGATTCTTACAATTATTATGAATATATATTATATATGTATGAAAAAAACGACAACCATTCACATGTACATAAAAAGAAAATCGGGAGATTTAGACGGAAGGGAAGGTGTATTAGCTTACAAGCTCTTAATTCAAATTATGAAATAAAAAATATCGAAAAAAAAATCCGCTCGTCGATTGTAATTTTTCTTCGCCCTTCTATCTCGCTTCGAGTGTAAACTGATGAAAGAAAGAGTTTTCATCGTAGACACTTTGGTCAGCAATGACACTCTTTCGTCGCGCTGAAAAGAAGCAAAAAAAAAAAAAAAATACAGCTCACAAAGCAGAAAATCAACAATAGTCACTCTCGTACAGATAGAGAGATACGCGCGGCTCATATACTCAACCCAAAGGACAGAGAGAGACTACTACTTTTATTGGCCGCTCGAAATATTGATTGCCCTTTATTTTTTATGATCAAGTCTCTGTGCTGCGTTGTATTGGTCCCGACGGGATGTGTATATATACTTTTCACCGCCACTTGCAGCGAAGATGAAGCAGCAGCAGCAGCAGCACAGCACGAGTGGCAAACAATTTGTCGTCGTCATGAATCTTTCGTTTATTTTAGTTTATCGATTTTATTTTCAGGTATACGGTAGGATAGAATATATTTCGTAAATGGTGATGCAAATTCTCATTAATACCTAGTTAATTGTATTGTCTCGACCTTTGACGCTCGTGGTAAAGGCCAGTTTTTTTTTATTATCATTATTCATCAATACAATTTATCATATTTTTTACAGTAAAAAAAGAGGCGGTAAAAAGTTTACACAAACTTATACTTATAAAGTACACACTATCGTCGTTAAAAATTAACAATAATAAGTCTGAGAGATATCGCTTAAAAAATATTTGCTTATAAATATTAGTATACGTAAATCGGAGACTTCTCATCAACGCCTTCCCTCGGGCAGATTGACCATGGCTGGGTCCTGGGACTGATCGACGGCGGCGTCGGGCTCCCTGTAGTCCTGGGGCAGCGGATGCGGTCCCGGATCGCCGCTGCTGAACTCGTTGGCCTTCTCCTGGACGGCCTTGAAGGACTCCTTGATGTTGTCGAGGGCCGCGCCGAGGCCAGTCTTGATCTGATTGAACTCCTGCGTCACCAGCGACAGTCGGCCGAGCAGATAGTTCAGGTTTGTGTCGACCTCGCTCATTCGCTTCGTTATCTCGCCGACCTAAAACATCGTTGCGTTGATAGTAATTAATCAGAAAAAAACCCTAACGGAAATCACCTTTTGCTATAAAATATTATTAATTTTTATAAACTTCTAGTAACTTTTATTAATTGATATAAACATTCGAATTTGAGACCCTAATAAAAGTTTATAGAAGTTATTAGAAGTTTTTGAAAGGTTATAAAAGTTCATGAATGTTTTTGAATGTTTATAGTATTTCTTCAACAATTGCGAGTATTTTACTTTTGGATCAACAAAAAATTAAAAATGTGCAAAATTTGATAAAATTTATAGAAGTTATGAATAAATTATTTTGTTTTTAAATTGCACTCATGCACATATGGCATATACAGACATTTGTTGAGAATTCTATGTATACTGAGAAAAGAAATTCATTGATTCAATGAAATATTTAATTAAATACAATCTATGAAATAATTTCATTGAAATAATCTTTTTTATTTCATCCAACAAAATATTTAATTGTTTTTACCAAAGTTTCATTGCTTCAATCAATCATTTGATTAAATTAATAGTAAATAAAATATTAAATTATATTTCATTGAATCAATGATTTTTTTTCTTAGTGTAGTTACCGAATATCAAAACCAAATTATCGCACAATGTCTGCTTTAAGTAATTTTTTCAGAATTTGTAATTGCTAAATAGAAAGGTTTCTAAACTTTTCTTATCTCTTATAAACATTAAATAATTTTTATGAACAGATCGTAACTTTTCATAAAAGTTAACATTATTGTAACTGGTAAATGAAAAAACAATTTTAAATTTTATTAACTCTTATAGAATTTTATAAACTTCTACAAACTTTTATTAACTTTTATTAGAGTCTCAAATCCGCATTTTTATATCAATTTATAGAAGTTTATAAAATCGTATTAATTTTTCTAGAAAAAACGATTTTCGTTATGGAATAATATCATAATATGTTATACCTTGCTCTCCATTCCGTCCATGGTGGAGGTCGTGCCGTTCACGTAAGCCTCGTTCTGCTCATGCAGCTTGTCGAGGGCCTTGGCGCTCTCCATCATCTGCTGGTACATGACGTTGATCTGTCGCCAGACCTGGTTCATCTCCTGCTCCATCTTGACGGTGAGATTGGCCAGGGCGCCGTTCTGATTGTCCATGATGTCGTTGCTGATGCCGTCGAAGCGCGAGTTGAGGGTGCGATTGATGTTGTGGCCCTGGGCCTGCACGAGCTCGCCCACCTCGCGTATGATCTTGTAGGCGTGCTCGAGGCGCTTCTTGGTATCGAGCACGTGGTCGGCCATCTCGACCATGACGCCCTGGCTCTTGCCCAGGTCGTGCAGCTCCTGGCTGATGCGCTCGGCGTTGTTCGCCATGTCCGATCTGTGTTTTACACAACAAACAAAAAATTCATAATTACTAAAGATTCTTCTCTCGATATTTTAATCGATATACGTACTTCAGAGAAGTCATTTTATCCCTCGACTCCTCCTTGTTCTCGTTCATACGGGACTCGATACGCTCGTTGCCCACCACGATGGCATCTTTCAGGGCGTGTCGCGCTTCCTGGAGCGACATTTGCGTCTCGTTGTGCATCGTGTGCAGCTCGCTGATTCTATTAAAAAAAAAAAAACAACAAAAATTTGATCGTCATTATGTTTTCTAGACATCGTATATTTTAAACTTGATAAAATTAAGTACTTGGCAAGTTATATTATACTTATTTGTTTGCAGTAATATTTGAATAACAATTTGAAATGAACCGAAGTAAACAATAAAAGATATTCCAATTTGAAATTCCGTTCTCATTTAACTTGTGTAATTTTAGCTTCTACTTGTGGATTCGACAGTGACATCTGGCGTTAAAACCTGGTATAAATACACGTATCGCACGTTCGAACATGGTTTACCTGGGCATATTGCGAACTTGTTCCAGGGTGTTCTCCAGCAGATCCTGCAGCCTCCTGAGAATTCGAACCTGCTCGTCGACGGAAGCCGAGGAGACCGCCGAGGCGGCGTCGCGGCTCGATTCCTTGAGGCTCGCTTGGCCGTCCAATTTCGACAGCAGATCCGAGACCTCTTTGATCTTCGCGCCGATCGTTTGCACCTGTCAAACAAATATTTTAAAATTTTAGTATCAAAGTATCGTAAAAAAATTACGATAATGACGTCGCGCGTATACCTCGACGGGCAATCCAGCCAACCAGCCGGCGAACGCGTCCTCGAGCCTCTGCACCCGATCGTTCAGCTTGGTCTCGCTGGCCTCGATCCGGGCCAGTATGTCGGGCGACCTGTCGACGATCGCCGCGTTGGCCTTGTTCGTGCCCTCGATCACTTTCGTCTCGATCTCCGTGGCCCAGCCCTCCAGTCTGCTCTCGAGGTCCTCGACGGTGTCCGCCGTCTTCTGCAGCTGTATGCGCTCGCGCTCGTCCTTCTGCTGGATCAGCTGCTCGACGCCCGCCACGCGATCCTCGAGCTTCTCGATGTAGGCCTTGAGGCCGTCCACGGTGGACATGCGCTTGACCAGCAGTGCCATCGACTTTTTCAGCTGCTCGGCGGTCTGACGGTCACGGGCTTCGTGGCGCTCAAGCTTCTCCGTGTTCTCGCGCATCATGTGCACGAGGCTCAGCATGGCGTCCTTGATGTCCTCGTGGCTGCAGCGCAAATTTTCGCATTTGATCGTTTATTAAATCAGTAAATGTATAGAGTAATTTCTTCTAGCTTTCGGTAGACAATTGTTTTAGGCAACAATAATTAAACACACTTTTACAACAATAATTTAACAACTTATTTGCATTTGCAACGTTTCGTCCAGCATTTTTCTAGACCTCTTCAAGCTTGCTGAGAGTAAATTCAAAACTCTTTGTCTATCGATCGCTCGAAGAAATATGAAAGAAAAAGGCAAATCTTCAATATGATGTTGTCTGTTCACAAAGAGATTAACAAATAAAATAAAGCTAACGTTCTTCAAACTATACATTTAACTATGAATAAATATTGTGTTTTTTTAATAATTATGAGCAATCCATTTCTCAATTTTATATTTACAATATTTAACATTTCTTATAATTTTAACTCATATCTGTACAAACTTTTTTATTCATGAATGAAATCGACAATTGTTTTCCTCTGCATTCCACGATATATTTTCCGTGTTAAATTTTTTCTCAATGGCTTTGAAAATTAGACAAAAGCAGATTTCACCAGTTGCCTTCGTACATGTATATTTCTCCCGACGTATCTTATTACGCCATTAACGCGCATTAGTCTTGCTTTCGTTTAGCACATTTTTGTCACTCTCGACATTATCAGCTTGAAAAGCGAATTTCTTAATTTTTTTTGTTTAATCATTCGTTATCTCAGTCATGTAACAATTTGCGATCGAATAAATTTAACGCGCTCGACATATATTGTCTCTGTCTCGTTTCGAATAAACAACATTGCGTACGCATGTATAACGATCGTTATTAGGTGAATAAATGTCAAAAAAAAAGTACTTACGTAATTTCAGCGCTGGCGGCGCAGGCCAAACACAGGAAAAGCGCGATTATCGAATTCCTCAGCTTCATGATAACGAACACCGGTGGTTGACTGCAAAAAAACAAACAAACAAACAACGATTCATTCACGTGAATAAAGTGCGTCGACACTTTCGCGTCTCAATTAGAATTACGATTCGTACCAATGCGAAACAACAATCGCGACGGGTATTAAACAAACGGATATTTTCTTAAGCTATATGAGATACGCTATACAGCAGCCACGCAGCGAGAGTCACTTAGCGACTGCCGATGGTGAGGCTCCACACAAGCTCTCGAGCTTTGTACATCGATAATTTTCCCTTAGCATCGTGGTAATATAGTCTTCTCTCTTTCTCTCGTTATACGTTATACGCGCAACGCATATGCAACGCACATGCCGTATCTAATGACTCGCGTAGGATATATATGAAAGCGAAGCAGATTTTGAACGAAGCGGGACAGCAAAAAAGCGTGCTTCATTATCATCTTACACGACTCTACTCGAAATTCATAAATATTTCGACTAAAAAAATTGAAGGCACGAAGTTAGAGCGAGAGATACGTTGCAAGAGGAGAAAGATGAGATGTTCTCGTGTACGCGCGTGAGGTCGACTCACTCAGATGACCTCTCGAGCATAGAGCTCGCGAGTGCTCTGTGCACAATTGAATTACTGGTACTTCCAATACGACTCGTCGATGGGCGCAATTACCATATCTCGCTCATACGTATCGGTTCTTGTCGCGTGGGCAGGTACTATTATTTCGAACGTCTTCGAGGATGTTTTCATTCGCACGCGAGAGAGGAAAGAAAGTACGAGAGATTCGATTGAATATTATCGGTAATAATAAATTGTAACTTATTCGAGTGTCAAGGTCTATGCCCTCGAGATTAATAATGCGTGCGTGAGTGTGTGTACGAGTTATATAGATTGGTCGATGCGTGAGCATGCATATATGTATATTTGTTTTGCCGCGAGAGGAATATCGACATTGATTTTAAAATTATCGACTCGTGCAGCTTTACGAGTCTCGAGGGTGCGACTGTATTGTATATACGAGTGCAGTTCTTTCCTTAAGCTCAAATTACGACATTTCGATGCATTTGAGCTTTGAGATTTCTTATCATCTTTTATTATTGAAATTACTTTGCAATTTTAAAAAAACTTTTAGAAAATTTTGGGCCACCAGTGAACATTTGGTGTATGAGGTACGCGAGACTCGAGACATAGCCGTTAGAGCTTGAACTTTGTACCGACAGTGTCCAGAGTTGATTTATTAATTCTAAAATTAATTAGTAGCTGCTACAACCGTTTAAGCAAGTACAAAATCGATAACAATGGATGCCAATTAGGTTGGGCTGTTTTTCGGATGATTTCGGAAAATCAACTTGTAATAGCAATTTTCTTCAAGGACTCTATAAAAGAAGAAGACACGCGCAACACAGGCACGTACAAATGATATTTTCTGCTCAAATTCAACGATTTTTCCAATAAATCTCTATTAAAGCTGTCTTGTGATTTTACGTTTTATAGTATGTCTTTACTGTAGAGGTAGCTACAAATGCGTGGGACTTTTAAATTTGTACATATTTTTGAAATAGTTCAGGCGCCTATGATACCCCTTAGCCGTATACAATACCTAAATAGTTTAGCTAGGTATAGCGGCTATTAATGTTAATGATTAATACCGCAGAAGTCGGCTTCAATTTGATTGTGGTTCGATTTGCCTCACTTCTTAAGAAGCCGAGACTACTATGGACCTTGTGGTCTCTCGAGTATTTCTCCTCTTTTCTCCTCTAAATCGATAATTCACAATTTTTTTTTCTGTAGTGTTGTTTAAATTTTAAACTGCATTTAATTTATAATGGCTCTTCTGAGAATGAATTTGGTAAGTGCTATGAAGCCATTTAAGCTCATTGTTCAAGAAACGAACCTAGAACCCCAATTATCACATTTAAAAAAAAAGAAATGCAATTTCATCGCTGTGATTCTCTTGAATGAAGGAATCATCTCAACAATATTTCATCCTTTATGAATGGCCATAAACTTATTATATGAGACTTATGATATTTTCGGGTCCAATTAAGATCGTTGATTTTTATTGATCGGCCTCGCTACTTCAGCACCGAACTTTGATCGATTAGCCACCTGGATTGCGTAGCGATAACTAACACTGGGAGACTTTCCGTGCGCGTGATCACTTGCAAGTACGCACCGAACACAAGTGCATGTTTTTCCGCGGTAACCCGTGCGCTCAGCTCACCGGTCTGGACTTGGGAATACACCGAAAGCGAGACTACGCACACATACTGTAACCAGCGTTACAGCCTCTCTGTGGTAAGATACTACTGTTGATTTGAAAATCTCCCGTGCGAAGATCGAGAGCTAGTTTGTTTACGTGAATTTTTATCATTTCGAACTTTGCAAATACTTGTAATTCGTGCTTCAATATCTCCGCTCGTATATTCACTTAAAAAATTATACGCACTATCTGAATCAATTTATCTGTACTTAAAACGAACGGAAGCCTAAAAGTCCCATACTCGAACGGTTTATAAATAAGTCTATCCTATAAAAGCGCGCCGCGAGCCATGCGGATGACGTTCATTAATATACACATGTAAGATGCCGAGACTACTGTGGGCCATGTGGTCTCTCAAGTATACAGATATATACACAATGTAAACGAGCGATAGCGCGCGCGATGTTTTTGGGTGATACACGCGCGTGTAGTACGAGCCATCTGCAGCGCGAGGAGATTTCGTTCACCCGTGGCGGAGCATATAAAGTAAAGCCGCATAGCACTGAAATCTCTTCGCTGTATGGCTTTGGCTTCGCATCTCGGCGATTTATCGCGCGAGGCACACAAGCTCTCATCAGCGAAAAACGTTTGAACTCGCGCTCCGCTTAGAACCGGCAAGGAATATATTTCAATTTGAGAGCCGCTCGCTGGAAAGGTCGTTGATTGTATCGATAATGAAGATATTTAACGCGTTTTCCGGCGAAAAATTGTTTTTTGCTTGTATCAAAGATACCCTGTAAAATTTCTTCCTTCCTCCTACTAACTAAATTCGCATGAAAATGACAGCCGCGCAATCACTATAATTTCTGTAACTTATATTCTATCTCGTTCTCTCGGATTCCGAGAGCCACAAGGATAATGGTTATCTGCGGTTACGGACTTGTACTGTATCGATTTCGCTCAGCGTGTATACAATTTCACGCGATGATTTCGAAATAACACAAATCACTCGTCGAGTCGTCGTCGTCGAGGGGGAGACGAGGAAGAAGTACATCGAGACGCGCAGACGTCTTGCTGCTGCTGTATATGTATTACAAGTGTGAACGCCCTGCGAGATAGCACCGCGAATGATAATATCTTGCCATGGGTCTTTGTGTCTTTTTTTTAAGCGTAGGCTCGCATTATATATATCGTAAATAGGAACCCAAGTGGAGCTTTTTCATTTCATTCCGAATCGAGGCAAATTTTTCCCTTTTGTGCGTGCAAGCGTTACATTTCGCACTCGCAACAATGACATTTTATGTAAAACGGAAGTACCAAGAGAAGGATTTATTATCATATCGCAACTTTATCAACTGCAGCCTATTTATGCCTTGCTGAATGCATGGGCATGCACTACGATACGCGCGCGCGCGCGTCCATGCTTACTCAGGGGTCTCTCTTACGAGTATTTCGATTCGCTAACTGGGCTTCTTAGCATTTCGGAGAAATCGAATTGCTTATCAATTGAAAATTATAATAAAAATACTGAAGAAAATTGAATCCACAAACTCGTGTGTAAATTAGCAATGATTTTCCAAACAAACAAACGCAAAATACTTACCGAAAATTTCGATAAAACAAACAAACAAACAAACAATTACGATCACAAATTACTCGAGCGAATTCCGCACACTCTCGAAGCACAGATATACAGAGCCCCGCGACGGTTCGATTTAAAATACTTTTTACTTATTATTATACTCTATCACACACTATAATGCAATGCGCGCGGTTGACGATGCTGTGCGTCTTTGAGCGGATCGCGCGAGGGACTGAGAAGCGTTATGATATGCTAACTATACATCAACAACACAGCACACTATGTGTCTGTGTACGCAGTATCGTTTGCGGGGAGCTTGAATCTTTTGAGCGGCGGTGCGCCCGCAGTCCTATAATATGCTCGCATCTTCTCCTGCGTGTACTTTTTTTCTTTTCAAACGAGAGGCGTCCGTTCCGCGCGTCTATGTATGATATGCACGAGTGTGTACACATTTGCCCGACGGTCGATGAGGTAGAAAAACATTGAAAACTCGAGGTGCTTTCTGCATAATCTCTCGTATACTTTAACGTATTCATATAAAAGTTTTCATTTTCAACAGTTTTATACATTCTAATTTATTTACAAACATTAATAGTCTGATCGATCCCAAAGTATCAGTCCTTTCTGTAGGTTCTGATCAGCTTTTGTAACAGTTCCTTCTGTTCGGTATTAAAAAATGACCATAATTCATTTTCCAGTTCCAATAGAGATTCATAATTTCTTGATTGACAAGCCAAGACGAGCGATTGTAACAGTATCATTTTATCTTCCTGCATAGTCGATACTGTAATTGAAGAAATTGTGTCATCCAGTTTGTTCACAACTCAAAATATACAACATCATATTATTATCATCTATAATATTACCAGTGGGAGTATTATCTTCAGCCCAAGCATACTTTTCCAAGACTTGAGCTAGCGAGGGTGCGAGTCTTTGAGGAGAGGGTCTGAGAATTAACAGTAACAATACTTTGTTTATTTCACAGTCGTGTAAGATATCTCTGTAGTATCCTGTACACTTTGAGCCAGTATGATTTTCAATCATTTCTACCAATTCATTTAAGACATGTAATGCGGATACATAATTTCCTGCAATTAAAAGGTTTAATTTCAAAATAAATATGGTACAAATCAATAAAGTATTTTACCTTGCTTAACATAATATGAAACCAACATGTTGATAGCTTTAACTGTTGAATGGGCATGGACAGATTTATAGAGATATTCAATTCCTTCAGTATTAGCTCCTAACGCAGTAGCTAATTCTATGGCCAGCCCAGCCGCCATGACTCCAAAATGTTCTTTGGTTTCACATCTTGTCAGAGTATGATTAAAAGTATTTATTGCTGCTTGATGATCTTCTTGGCTTATTGAAAGGCACCCTATATTGTTGCTCTTTTTGTTGGATAACAAAAACTGACGACCAGCTCTGATTAAAAGGTTTATTTCTGTTATGGAATTTCCAATAGTGCCTTGACATCTAGCCGCTGCAAGCCAACAGCAACCAGCGTAGTGATGTAGATCCTTTTGTTCACAACTGATTGCCAAAGCCTCTGTATTGTTTAACACAATTTTTAATTCAGAGATATTTTACAAATCTATGGTAAATCAGTTTGCTCTATAATAAGTATATACACACCAAACTGTTCAGATGCTTCTGCGACATTTGGTTTACGCAAAAATCGTCTAGAACAATGCAAAATTTACGTTGGAAAATAAAAACTCACAAGTTTGTATCTATGTAACCTTACTTTTTGAGCTTATTCGAGATTATTTGATAATTTATGAGAACATCGTGTCCATCCGAACCTTTAATACTGAGTTGTTCTGGCAGTGACATTTTTCGACAATAAACACAGAGTTAAAAAAATAATAACAACTAGAAAATAGATGGTTTCAATGTGTTTCAAGTGACAATCGAACACACAAGGGTCAGTGAGTCGATAGCAGACAACGAAGTTAAAGGCGCCACTCGCTGCGCATGACAGCCCGGGATCTTGAAATTTCGACAAGACTATCAGACGCAATTGTTCTCAATTTCTTACAATAAAATAAAAAGAAATTCATAAATCAATTATTTAGATTCAGTAACAATTTTTTTATACAACTTCTGAATATTTATGAATATCAAATGATGTAAAAAGTTTTACAATTTTGCTTCATCATAACGTAAGAAAAAAAGTGATGCAATGAAGAAAAATCGTAAGCCATTGTGAGGGATCATGAATAAAAGTTTACTTTCTTGATTGATGTACACTATATGTAAAACGATTCGTTTCCCAAAAGATGATAAAGGTTCATAAAACATCAATTTTGTAAAATCACCTTTTTTTTCTAACAGCAATGAACTAAAAATATTATTCATCTTTTACTCTCTATTTAAAGGCTTTAACATTTTCATAATTAAAATTGTAGAAAATCATGAATGAAAGTAACAGTAATTGTATTATAAATGTTTCATAATCCAAAATTGTATAAAATACTTGATTAGATATATATATTTATAATAAGCTTTTATGTATTATCAAGATTACACTGATGAATAACAACGATACGTCACAAACAAACCAGTGTTCAATAATTAATAACTTTTTCTTCCTATTGAAATTGTTGCTCAACGCTTTATTTTACTATCTATTCTTTATAACACTAATCCTACCAAATACTTTTGTTTTTTTCATTTTCATGTTATTTGTTTTTTTAATATTAATTGAATCTGGAAACAAAAATAGTAGTAGTCCATTGAGTAATTAAAGTTGCACAAATTATAAATGTAACAAAAAAAAACACACGCACAAAATTATCTTAAAATGACAATTTTTATTAGAATGAGTAAACATTTCATTTTATAAAATTAAGATTTTTTTATGATTTTTATGCAGCAAACCTGAAAAAAATTTACGCACTATATTAATCTTTCTTACCAACAGATCTCGATATTTCACTAGTTTTTTGTAACCGCGCATCACAACTTGCGTAGCCAACCTCATTACGCTATATTTGCGTTTTTTTTTGGGGAAATGAATCTTTTTACATATTATAGTGTAGTTATTGAGTACACAATTTTTTTACTTATAATTTAGGATCGTATCGAATGACGTGATGGGTGACAAATTAAGGTAAAAATGTAAAAATAGTTTACCTTTATAGAAATATGGTATCTTATTCTCATTCAGTTCTTCTTCTACAGTTAGTAGTGAAAGGATAATAATACACAATAATTTAAAATAACAATTCAAAAATATAATAATTATTCGCAGTTCTTATAAACAATCAACAAATTAGAAAAATGCAGTGCGCACTTTTTATTGACCGCCAGTTTAAAAATCATTTGAAAACGATACAACAGAATTTTTGTCGATAACACACACCAGTGGTTGTTTACAGATTAGTAAAAAAAATTAATAATCAAAATTAGTTGTGGCACATTTGGTATTTAACGTCAATGAAATGTCTGTCGGTTGAAATTCACCGTCCAGCCTCATTCTTTCTCGTACATTAAGATTGCTCGATTACACATTGCTCGAAATCAAAGAACGAATCGATGCACTTGTGAAAATGATCTGCATACACGAGAGACCATCGAACTCTTATACGAAATTGGAGCGAATCAATGGCAGCCGTTCTTACATACAGCAAATCAGCGCGAATCTCTGCGTATATACGCCGCAGTCGTGCGACGCGAAGGCCAATTATTTGGAACTGTGTGTGCATAACGAGACGATGCAGTATCGGTTCAAGGATGAACGGACGGAAAAGGAGGAAAAAAACCACGACGATGTTCTCGTGTGCTTTGAAAACGGCTGTAGAGACAAAGGGAAAATATGACAAATCGGTTGCTGCTTAGCAAATTAATAGCTTTCTGCAGTTAAGAGCTCGGAACTCGAAAAAAATACAAGGAAATGAAAACCAAAGATAGCAATCCACTTTGTTGCACATTTTTCGATACTCTCGAGTTTTCGTGGCCGGTTAGACTTGAAGGCCCATTACAAATATTTAGAGATTGTCCGTTGACATTCGAAATAAGCTCTGCAAATTGTTCCGTAATCAAAGTCCGCGTCAAACTTGATTACACACGTGACTCCTAAGAACAGCTTCTAAATTGCTCTTAAAATTTGTACAATCTCTAGTGAATAATCTGTCCGGCTTTTTTCCCTCACATATTTTTCTGGTGAGGCCGAAGGTAAGGCCGAAGAAGGTAAGGCCGCAGCCTCGTTTTTTACTAGCCGAACTCTTGAAATGTAAATTCAAATGACTTTTTTACTAGACCAAATTTCGATCCCGCTTTCCGGAAAAACTGTTAATAAAATTTGGTACAGTTGTTCACAGCATCAATGCGGAGGGCTCCACAGAGCCGTTTTTCGAAAATCGGTCTAGTAAAAAAGTTATTTAAATTTACGTTTTCAGATTTAGGTTGGTAAAAAACAAGGTCTATGCATCACCTTAAATATTAAAAAAAAAAAAGCTTACGCGATAGTCTATACTACGTAATCGCGTCGACAGCGCGCAGATGTGCGCCCGCGAAATAAGCAAAAGAACAGACATACGGATAGAATGAGTTATGACGAGTGTGTGTATAAGTGTGTGCTGCGTTAATACACACACACGTAGACCGAAGCGAGCCGCGGTATGTTACGAACCACGATGCTTTAGTAGGCTGTCGAGCGCGCTTGGAGAAACTCGTATATATTTTTGCAGTCTTATATTTTTTCGTCGCCGTTTCTTTTTTAGTTCGATTAAGCTCGGGGCTTGTCAACGGTTTTTTTTTCATCTACTTCGTCCCGCCGAATGTGCCGCGCTGATAAATCCGAGTGCCTCGCTTAATACATGTGGTAATTTGACAAAAATTTGTGTGTTTATGTGGGTGCGTGTGTGTTTGTGTGTATGTTAGTGTACCTTCACTGCTCCGAAAATTCTAACGAGTCGCCGGGTACATAATAAACGCATCCGCGAAACAAAGTTCAATTAATTGTATATAGTGGAATATTTGCTCATTGTTTCGCGGCTCGATTATCGCGAGTCGCACGACTTTCCAAAAAAAAAAAAAAAATTGACGCGTTAAACGGCCCGATTCATTAAGCAGTCTAATGAGATTCTCGGCTTGTTTACATGGAAAACCGGCTCGCGAAATACCTTACGGGCCTCATTGAACGAAATGCCGATCCTGTATTTATATCGTGCCCACGAGGATCCGTCGAGGCCGCTACTTCCGCGTATACATATCTATTTGAGTTAAATAGGAGCACGTATAGAGCAAAAAGTTGTTTATTTCTTTCTTTCCCTCTTTAAAGAGAGAAAGAGAGAAAAGGTAACGTTTACGCGTATTCTAAAAATATTGGCTAAAACCATCGGTATCGTTAGCGTGTCGTAGACGTCGCAGTGTGGCTCACATATACCCGGCGCATGGAGAAGAAGAGAGAAAAAAAGAAGATTCAATCGACATCGCGCGACGACTATATTTAGGCTTTGGGAACATTCGCACCCAGAGAAGGCGGACCGCGTCGGTATATAGCTGCCGGCAATATTATTATACCTATATAACTACACGATATATTGGGAATCAATGGCGGGTAAGTTTATATCGTTATACTTTATTATTCACATGTGTGTGTGCGTGTGCCTTTAAATAATGAACGATGACGATAAAAATTCACTCCAGCTTTCGCGCGCGCGGATTTTTTATGTAAGAGCTGGATCGCAGCAGGCGCGCGTGGGTTTAATTAATACTCGCGAGCTGACGCTGCGACGCGAGTGAGAGTTGCTCGTCTCTTTTTTTCTCTCTTTTATTTTATTTTTTGCTGCTGATGATGCCTGTAATCAGTCTGAAATAATAGGCGATTGTTCCGCTCGATAGAAATTAAATTAATGCGATGGTTTATTAGCTTCTCACGTGCAATCGAGTTAAAAGTCTCGAGCGACGACGGATCTGTCGTCATTTTCTTATCAAAGTTTAACCAAGTTTATGTTTCTATTCTTTTTATTTTTTGGTACGATTAATTATTAAAACTGCTGGCACACGCGTGTAATAGTAGTGTAATAGAGTATTATATAAAATATAGCTGAAACTCCAATCTCTGCACGCGCACGGCCGAGCGAATAATTTTAAAATTAAATCAATTGTGTATTTATAACATTTGTCACGATTATCATCGTCTTCTTTTTCGACTCTCTTCTTCTTTTTCATCGTAGTCGTCATCGCCACTGAAAAAAAAGAAACAGATTCATCTTTATAAGACCGTTCCGTATATAACGAGGCGAACGCCGTGGACGTGTCGCGCTGTAATAATGCCTTGAAATTTTGTCACCATTAAGATTTAAAAGACACGAATACTCACACACACGTATCGAAATCGAAGAAAAAAAGTTATGATTTATTTTTACACTTGCAAAAGGAGTCATCGTCGTGTCTCCGCAGGCTCTAAGACGAAATGCATATATGAATCTCGAGAACGAGATTATGCTAAAGAGGTGCAAATCCTTATACAGAAGAGATCCACGCGTGAATTTCCATGTAAAACGACAATATAGAAGTGATGATAAAAGAAAAAAATATTCATAACGTAAACGAAACTCGTTTTTGAATTGCGTCGCGCGCGTATAAGGGAGAGAAACGAAAATTCCTTCGAGCCCGAATTAATTGATAGGACTTCTCGTGTGTGTGTGTGTGTGTGTGTGTGTGTGTGTGTGTGTGCGCGCGCGCGCGTTTATGCACTCGAGTATAAACTTTGAAGTCGATATCTGTCAGTTGTGTTTCGTTTGTATACACATACGCTCGCAGGCACATAATTTGGTCGCGATGCATCGCAGAAGCCTGCTGGGCAACGTCGGTATAACTTTTGGCTATCCTTATTTCTCTCGCTTTTTCCGCTCGTACAAACCACTGGACTGGACACTATCAAAGTTAGCAAGCCAGAGAGAAAAAACATGCGTTTTA